GAAATTTGGTGGAATTTAGAAAGGGGGTGAAGATATGGGGGGATCTAAATATGATCAAAATATATTGTATGAAATTCACAAAAATTAAATAAAAATTAATTTAAAAAATCTAAAGAAATGTTTTGCAAGGCATATGCCTATAATTTCAGTATTTGAGAGGCTGAATCAAGAGGATTGCAAGATTGGGGGTACCTTGGACTGCTTTGTGAGACTTTATCTCAAGCAAAGAAAAAACTAAATAAAAAATGTGAACATGTATACACACACACACACACACACACACACACACTGCAGTTAAGGAAAACAAATTGGATTCAGAATAACTTTAGGGCAGATCCCACCATTAATGTTCCATGGAAGAATGAGTGACAATGTTTACATAAAATTCTCCTTTTACTATAGGTTATGGTGTCATTTGGTCAATTATTACATATTCAGATCATTTCTATTTCCCCTTATTGAAAAATACTATGGCCATATCATATCAGTTTTTGATGATATCTGTAATTGCTTCTTTAAGTGAATTACTAGCAGTAGAATATTTGAAAAAGGTATAACTATTTTGAAAAATTTTAGCACATATTGACAAACTGCCCAATCAAATAGCTTCATGTTATACACCCAATAGTTTAAAGTCTGCTATTGACCTGAATCGTTATCAAAGTATTGTGGAAGAGATAAAATACAGAGGAGTATAGCTCCATTATTATTATTGTTATTATCATTATTATTAGTAGTAGTATTGTGGACCAAACCCAAGGCCTTGTGCATGTTGGGCAAGAGTTCTACCACTGAGTTGCATCCTCACCCACTTTATTGAGTTATAACATATATTGATATAGTTTTTATGAACTTCCATTCTATTTACAAGTAAATTTTGTTAATAAATCTGTCTTTTGTTATGGAACGTTTCAGATTCTTATAGGTGTGGGTGTATATATGTGTTTATTATCAGAGTGACAGTATCGATGCCTTCATTTATTCATAATACCATTTTAGAGTCCTTAAACATTTAGAATCTTAAAGACCCAAAGCCTCTTAAGTCTCTCAGGAATCTCCTTTTTTCTTAACAGTCATTAGGAGTAAAAGTGGCATCTTTTATTGCTTTTGTATAACTTCTTGTCTTTTATCTCTCGCAGAGAACCAAGTACAGAATTCTTTATAAAAGTCTTTAAGTGGAGTGCGTTCATTTATTCCCATAAAATGCAATTTCAGTCTCATTTGGAACATATTGTTTGTTTCAAGTTCTAGAAACGTCCACTTTCTACACACTTACATTTTGTAACTTTGTGGAAACCAATATAGTATGTTACTTACTCATTTCCATAGCAAGAACAGTGATGTTATGCCAAGAAAACTCTTCTCGGTCTAGGGGTCTTGCTGTCATTAGGGCACCAGTTGTAATATCAACATAGAAGAATCTTCCAGGGTCACTGCTTCTGTCAATTGAGTATCTGCAAACAGATGGATTATGAGCATTATTTTCATTTGGATAACAGGAGAGCATAGCACTTTGGAGAAGTAAATGCATACAGTATGTTAAACATGGCTCAGTCAGCTCTGAGTTGGGACTATTTGGAACACTGGTGTTATCATGCTTTTAAAAATTTATAAAGAGGCTGGGCATGGGGGCGCATGCCTTTAATCCCAGCACTTGGGAGGCAGAGGCAAGCGGATCTTTGTCAGTTTGAGGCCATCCTGGTCTACATAGTGAGTTCCAGGACAGCTGGGGCTACAGGGAGACCCTGCTTTTTCGTGGGAACTGCAGTTGACCTCAAAAATATTTCTTTTTTATTATTTATTATTTTTATTTTATGTATATGCATGTATTGCCTGTGTGTGGGTAAGTGCACCCATGTCATGCAATGCCTGCGGAAGTCAGAAGAGGCTGTCAGATCCTCTGGAACTGGAGTTATGGACAGTTGTTAGCTTCTATGTGGGTTCTGGGATTTGAACCTGGATCTTCTGCAAGAACAGCCAGTGTTCTTAACCGCTGAGCCATCTCTCCAGCCCCAATTTCTTATTTAAAAATGAAATAAGAGCTGGAGAGATGGTTTAGAGATTAAGAACACTGACTGCTCTTGCAGAGTACCTGAGTTCTGTTCCCAGTACCCACATGGTAGCTATTAACTGCCCATAACTCCAGTTCCAGGGCATCAAGTGCCTTATTCTGGCCTTTCAGGGCATTGCACACACATGGTACACTTATATACATGTAGGCAACACACACACACACACTAAAAATTAATTAATTTTTTAAAATAAATTTACTTAAAAGAT